CTTTGGAGAGATAGGAAACTTTTTGGAGAGTTACCTTCTTGGAAGCCATATGGTGCCCTTTGGACTTGTTAAAATTAGATATGGTTGGCATCGGAAGTTCATACATTCATTGGAAGTATCAAACAGTCATCGCATTTAAATTCCTTGGAACTGTCAAGCTATAAAGGCATTTCAATCCCTTGGTCTTGAAATAAAAAACATCTGCAGTTTAAAAAAAAAATCTGCCTGCTATTTCATTCTGCCTGTTGCCATAAGCCTTTCTGTCTGTTGTCTTAAGACTGAGGGCAATAATTATAGGATTGTACAGTTGCATAGGTTGGCATGGAGGGTATGATGGGCCATTGGTTATCAAGACCATAAGAAATAGGAATAGGAGTAAGCCATTTGATTCCTTGAGTTTGCTCCACCATTCAAAAGGATCATGGCTGATCTGACATTCCTTACATCTACCTTCCTGTGTTTCTCAACTGATCAAGAATTTATCTATTTCGCAAGGACTCTGTCCCACAGCCCTGGATATAGGAGACAGGATGTCATATTGCAGCTGTACAGGACATTGATTAGGCCACTTTTAGAACACTGCATTCAATTCTGGTCTCCCTGCCATAGGAACGATGTTGTTAAACCTGAAAGGATTCAGAAAAGATGTACAAGGACGTTGGTGGGATTGAAAGATTTGAGCTATAGGGAGAGGCTGAATAGGCTGGAGCGTTTTTTCCGTGGAGCGTCGAAAACTGAGGGATTACTTTATAGAGGTTTATAAAATCTTGGGGGGCATTGATTGGTGAATAGTCAAGGTCTTTATTCCCAGGGTAGGGGTGTCCAAAATTAGATAGGTTTAAATAGAGGAGAAAGATTTAAAAACAACCTGAGGGACAACTTTTTCACGTAGAGAGTGGCGCATGTATGGAACAATCTGCCAAAGGAAGTGGTGGAGGCTGGTACAACTACAACATTTAAAAGACATCTGAATGAATACATGAACCGAAAGGGTTTAGAGGGATATGGGCCAAATGTTGGCAAATAGGACTAGATCAGTTTAGGATATCTGGTCAGCATGGACAAGTTGGACAGAAGGGTCTGTTTCCATGCTGGAAAGCTCTATGACTCTCAAGCCTCTGACAGAAAAAAAATCCCTCCTCATCTTAAATTGGCATACTTTTATTTTGAGAATATGCCCTCTGCTCCTCGGGTCTCCTTTGAGGGAAAACATCCTATCAGCATTTACCCTGTTAAGCCATTAAGAATCCTGTATGTTTCAATGACATCATCTCTCATTCTCCCAAACTCCAATGAGTATTGTCCCAAATATTTAGCTTTTGCTCATAAGACAATCCCTCTATACCAGGGATCACCTGAGTGAACATTCTCTGAACTGTCTCCAATGAAAGAATATTTCCTTAAATAAGAAGTCCAAAACTGTTACAGTGTTCCAGGTATGGTCTCAACAGCACCTTGCACAGTTACATCAAGACTACCCTACTTTTATACTCCAACCCCCTTGAAATAAGGGCCAACATTCCATTCATCTCCTAATTACCTGCTGCACCCGTGTGGCTTGTTTTCTGTGTTTCTTGCACAAGTACTCCCAATGTTCCTTTGTGTTGTAGCTTTCTGCAGATTTTCTCCATTTAAATAATATTATATCTTCTTTTGTATCAAGAACAGTATGTAGATCCACCGGGGGGTTGGTGGGGGGGTGATCATGAGGTGGCATGGGTTGGATATGTGGACACTGTGTGGGTGAGAGAGTGAGAGTGATGAGGAATGAATTTGTTTCATTTCCTTACAAGTCCCAAAGCACTAAAGCTGGCCTTTTACACTGCTCACTTCACACCTGGCAGCCTCTGTAGCTGCCTTCACAGCATTTATGGAGCTGGTGACCTGATTCCCATTAGCGAACCCCACCTGGAACCAAAATCAGAACATCTGGGCCACATTCTTATAGAGAAAATTCAGGCCCTCGTGTTAAATAAGACTTACATGGGAAACCCTTAAAAATTTGCTGCTCCAAATTAGAGGTTAATGCCTAGCACTATCGCAACAACTGAAAAAATTTAAATAAATTTTAGGGAGCTGCGGTTCTTTTTTGCAACAATTATAAGGATCAAATGGGGCTTATGTATGAAATGATGAAATACATATAGACAGTTCAGTGTTTTGATAATAGCAAATCAGGATCTGCAGTCCTAAAATAAATTTATGTTGTTTCTTAATTTTGAACTTCCCAATCCCTGTGCTTAGCTGCTTTGCTTCTTCAGGCATAGTGAAATAAAGAAATCAATGCCTGTTCTGAGAGTAGTTATGCCTTAGTGACTATAAATAGTTGAATTTCAGATTATAATAAAAGTGAAATAGGTACATTAGTATTGTGACTCATAGCTTCTCTGCCTCATGATTTTTACTCTGAAAACAGTTTTTTAATCAATATCTGCATTGAGACAATTGTACATATATCAACCACCCACCTCTAAATCATGTATATTATGAAGTACTTTATCAAGAACTTATCACTAGAACTGCATTAAAACATGCAACTAAAAGCAAACCTACCACTGGGTTTAGGAAAACCTAACTACACACTTTGATAACACACAAAGTGCACACCTGTGCAATTTCATGTGCCATTTTAATTTGTTCACACAACGATCAGGCTCACAGTGCAACTTGTGGACCATGTTGAAGGGCATGAAGAGTGTGGATTTGGAGGTGAGCCAAAGAGTGTCCCATCGCAATTCCTCAGTACAGTATCCCAGCTTGCCACAGGGTTTAAAGACACCCCCCCACCAAACCTCACTCCTCACCATTTGCATTCCCTCCATCCAAAGAAGGGTCTAGGCCCGAAACGTCAGCCTTCCTGCTCCTCTGGTGCTGCTTGGCCTGCTGTGTTCATCCAGCTCCACACCTTGTTATCTCACCATCCCATGGTCCCTCAGATGACCCATTCCACCTCAGCAACTCTTGAATCTCCCCCATAGCCTCTTGCCCCGTACATACTTGTGTAAAGTCCTCTGATTCCATGCAATATGAATAGATAAACAATTATGGGAAAAAATAAATCTCTCACCATTTAATAGAAGTATAGAGAAAGCTTGCATTCTGCTATTTAAACAAAAGTTGTATTATTTGTAATCCTATTAACTGTGTCAACCAGAAACCACAATGAATGAATTTTATTATTACAACTGCTTGAAACTGTCATTCATTCTGAGACAAATGGAAAAAAACATACACTGTGCTGAAAAACCATTAGCACTTGAAACTGGGCTGAGCACCGATAATAACCAAAGCTTTCCAAACAATAACGCTCTTTTGAATGGAATGACCAGAAGGTGCTCACTTCAGTTTCAAAGCAAAGTATCTTCCAATTGATGCAAGAGTGAACGAACGAGGTTAGACTTTTTCAAGAATCAAAACCAATTTTTTTACATCAGCCAAAACCATTTAAGTCTTAGCAGAAAAGATGACGGGACAACTTGATAGGGCACTTTGTAACATTTTTCATTGCATTATGGTCTGTTCTCCATTGAAAAAGCACTGTAATATATATGAACAAATACAGAATGCTGGTTCATACAAGCATCAACTTACCTTTAAAAGATGGATCCTTACGATCAATCACTGTGTTAACAACACATCTAGGTGACAATACTAAACCCAATAGTGACATTTGAAAGTGTAAAAACACTTCTCACCTTTCTTTCAAAATGTTCTAGAATGCTCTTATAGAAAATGGGGCAGGGTAGCAAAATGGAATAAAATCAGATTTCTTCTAAAAAAAAATCAAGTGTGGCTATTTGCATATCAAAAGACACCTCTGCACTGGATAAAAATTTAACCCCAGATGTTCACAGAAATTCTTGAAGTTTACCACCACTGTCACCAATGTAAGGTACAAATCTTGGGGGGGGATGGTGGCTCAGCAATTAGCAAGCTGCCTCACAGCGCCAGGGACCCGGGTTCAATTCTACCTTTGAGCGAATGTCTATGTGGAGTTTGCACATTCTCCTATGTCTGCGTGGATTTCCCCCAGGTGCTCTGATTTCCTCCCCGAATCCAAAGATGTGCAGTCAGGTGGATTGGCCATGGGATATGCAGGGTTACTGGGATGTGGTGGATCTGGATGGGATGCTGTTCAGAGGGTTGATGTGACTCGATGGACTGAATGACCTGTGTCCACACTGTAGGGATTCTACGATTCTCCAAAATCTAACAGCAGTGAAAGATATGCCGAACGTTGTCAATCATACCTGAGTGCAAACCTGAGACCAGACATCTCCTGTTAGTAAACCAATGATCTCAAAAATGCATCAAGGATGACAGGAGATTATAATTAATAATGATCTACAGTAAAACTACAAAAATACTGAAAATAAACTTGGCTGTTCTGAGCCGATAGCTATGAAACATTTCAAATTACTCAGCATGGGACACAGGATCGCCTCAAATTATTGAATATGCATCATATTATACATTTGAGTGTAAATTAACAAAATAGCCTTGATATCTAGACTACTACTTTATAATGATCTATGTCAGTAAAAGCAATATGTAATCTTCATTGTTTTATGGATTCATAACTGTAATTGATCAAACTGACATTTAGTTCTGTTCCAATGACTTTTGAACAAGCAAATTCAACTGCAACATTATAAAACATAGATTGAATATCAGGTGCTACTAAAAACAAGAACGCATTTTAATCCTCCTTGAATTTTCTTTAATTATGTGGTTAAGGTGAAATGCATAAAAATTAAAGATTTGTTCTCAAATTCTGAGGCTTTCCTATCTCAGATACAATGATATATGCTTTACCTGTGCCTAAGATTAAATGGTTAACAAAATACAGATGCGAGATGATCTTTTACTCTCATAATTTAATAGCTGGATGTTGCTGTCTGTGTTGTTTTCACCCATTCTTTATATCAGCTGCTAATATAATGACACTGATTGGTGTATAAACTGCAAATGTGTTCCATGAATACAAGCCAGCACTGTACCTTTTTGGGTCAATCAATTTGTAAACCTTTCCACTATGTGCTTCTGTCACACTCTTGCTGCTTGCCAAAATGTAAACCTCACCTGCAAACACCAAATTAGAAAGTTTTCAAACTCATTGCCTTCAGGCAGTCTGTGTATCACTGTTTATTATTGTATTATTCATATCCCTTAAGAAAGTATTTCAACCAAATTTCATGTTTATCAATTTTCTTCTCACTCAAAAGTCAACTTATCTTTGTAAACAAACGTCAAATCAAGTCAACACATTTTTTTTACAATGACTCAAAGTCAACTGTAGGAACACAGGAGTAAACTATTTCGTCCCGAAAACCTGTTCTACCATTATATGAAATTATGGATTATCTGTGATGTAATGTCACATAACTGTTTTTGCCCATAACTCGTGATACCTTTGGATATTAAAAATTCATCTTTCTGATTTAAAATTTATAATTGATCTAGCGCCAAACACCGTTTGTAGAAGAGAGTTCCAAACTTCTACTACTATTTGTGTGTGCAAGTACATCCTAGGGCAGAACTTAACAGTGCTACCAGAACTGGGAACTGTACTGGGTGGGCTGACTATTCAGACAGGCCACAAAACATCAGCTTCCTGATGGTGGGTTGAGTTTAAGAGATGAAGTCAGAACTGATTCAGGATTCTTGGCTTCCAGTGACAGGAATGTCTTTTCCCTACATTTTCAGGCCACAAATACTTATTAAATCACGATTTATCCAAATAAAGTCAGAACTTCAAGATTAAGCTGACAGCAAATAAAAAAACTTGCACAATCTGATTTAGAGCTTGTTAAAATGTGGTGCACTAATTTAGGTGGTCCATTCAAATTATAGGTGAGTGGTTGTGTCTGGTGAACACTGAGATAAAGGGGAGGGATCAGGAAGAGGTGAGAGAGTAAAGGTGGGGGCGTTTCCAGGATTTGATTGGAGAGGTGTGAGATTTGTGTGGATCCCAGGAAATCATATAGAATCATAAGGGGGCAAATGTCAGGGTAAAAGATTTTAAATTGCAAAGATGACATCTGAATATTATTTAGACAAAGATTGCAAGAAGCTACAGCAGAGAAGGATTTGGGAGTCCTCATACACAATCACAAAAATCTAGCATACAAGTTCAGCAAATAATAGGGAAGGCAAATGGACCGTTGGCCATTATTTCAAAGGGAACGGAATACAAAAATAGGGAAGTCTTGAAAAAACTATACAAGGTCAAGTTAAACCGGACCTGGAATACTGTGAACAGTTTTGTTTCTGTGGTTGGTTCACTCACCGAGCTGGTTCATTAGTTTGCAGACATTAGTTTGCAGGTAATCAACTCCAACAGACCCCAGAGTTTAAATAGCAAGCAGGAAAATACAACAACGCTTTATTGGAGGCTACACTAATGATGTTACCCAGCAGCATAATGAAACGTCTGCAAACTAATGAACCAGCTGGGCGAGCGAACCAATCACAGCATCCACAACAGCATCCGAGTTACAAATCTACTCAAGAACATTCGTTTTGGTTCTCTTATACATATACAGGCATTGCAGGCAGTCCAGAGAAGGTTCACCATGGGCTAATTCTGGGTAAGGGGGGACTGTCTTATGAAGAGAAATTGAGTACGTTTGGTCTGTATTCAGTGGAGTTCTGAAGAATGAAAAAAAACTTTATGTAAACATACAAGATTGTTACTGGCTTGACTGGATGGACGCTGAGAAGTTATTTCCCCTTGTGGGAAAGTCAAGGACCAGAGGCAAAATCTCCCAGTAAAGGGTCACCTATTTAAGACAGAAATGAGGAGGAAATTCTCCTTTCAGATGGCTGTGAATCTGTTGAATTCCTTGGAGCAGAAATTGTCGAGGCTGGGTCATTAGGCATATTCAAGACTGAGACAGATTTTTAATCAGTAATGGAATGAAAAGTTATGGGGAAAAGGTAGAAAAGAGGAGATGAAAATGATCAGATCAGCCATGTATTGACTGAACAGCAGAGCAGTCTGGATGGGTCAAACAACCTATTTCCGCTCAAACATCTTATAGTCTTTTAGGTTTGAGACCTTGACAATATCCTTCAAAACCTAAAAATATTGTTCCACAGCTGCTCCTTGCTTACAGAACCACTTTACTCATACTTGGGTGTCTTTTATAGGCCACCTGGAGCTGCACTGCAATCGCCTGATGACAGATATTGCAACTTCCCGCTACACTGCCTTATGATCTTTCATGCTGCAAGGGGCAGTTGCCTGCCCTTTAAAATTAACATTAAATTGTGTGTACCAGCTGTGTACTTCAGTGTAAGTACATATTTTTATTTTTCCATTTGGTAGTTGGGCTTTGCTGATTGAATTCTTCCCCCAATTTTCTCTCCTGAAAGGACTAGCTTGAATCTTTAGACTCTATCCCTTCGTCCCAGATTCACCAACCACCAAAAATAGTTTTCCTGTAGCTAGTTCATCTACTCCCATGAATAACTTGAAACTTCAATCAAATAATCTCTCAACATCTGAAATTCCAGGAATACAACCTTAGTTTGTGCAATATTCCTCTTCGTAAATTAAACACTGGAGTCCAGCTATCCTTATTTTACATATATCACATACTAAAAATAGGCTTTCAGAAAACTTGCTTTAAAGATGATTTAAATTTGTTTTGTCTTTATTTATATAAATGTTACTGCATTTACTACACGGCGAGGGTTAGGGGAAATTAGATATATGGGTAAGATCTATAAGAAAGTTTTGCAAGTAGGAATTGGAGGAAATGAAAAGTAAAGTCCATTATGTCCTCACACTGATACTGTTTATTATTAAACTTTCGATGTCTATTATCTAAAAAATCTTGTTATCCAATACTGATTAATAAATATTGATTCTTAGAAATAAAACATTACATGCTCACAATTATAAAGTGAGATCAGTGAACTAAGGAGTACCACATTCTCAACTTCTTCAATAAGAATAATCTGTGAAATCACAGTGGCCAGTTACTTTCAGTGGATACAGATGCGATGATTCACCACCCCATAAAACTTTTTCAGCTGCCAAGCACTGACAAGCTCCATTAAATTTGATCTTGTTCCAGAATAGATATACTTGCAATACTATCTTACTGTACCTTCAAATAAAAATGTGGAAATTAAGGAAGGTGCCAAAAATACAATAAATCCACTCCACAATAATATACTTGCAATGCATAAACAAAGTGTGTTGCAGTAACAGTCATGTCACTGACAGGATTTTCTGCTTGAACCACTTATCTCAGCTGTTTTGCTGCAGATAGGATCTTTTAACTAACTGAGACAGGCTTCTTAGCCCCGACATGGGATCCCATTTGGGGCCACAGAAAATGGCTATAGCTGTCTCTATGACCTTCCATTGTTTAGCATGGTTAGGTGTCATTTTGTTAGGTGGAGTCAATCTTTTTCTACATTTTAAAAAATCCATTCATGGCATGTGGATGTCATTCACTAGGGCATCATTTATGGACCATCCCTAATTGCCCAGAGCGCAGTTAAGAGCCAATCACACATATAGGTCAAATTTCCTTTCCTAAAGGATGTTAGTGAACAGCAATTGACTGTTGTTACATGGATCCCGTTAAAGCAGTTTAAAAATTCAGGTTTTTATTGAATTCAAATTTCACCATCTGCCATGGTTGCTTTTGAACCCACCTTCCCAGATCATTATCCTGGGGCTCTAGACCAATGGTCCTGACACATTACCACTTCACCAACACATCCCACATAATCAAGCACATTGCCACTCCACAAGCTTTCATTTTTAAATCATCCATTTTACTTGTCTAGACTATGCTTTAGGACTTGAGAAGCAGGAGCAGAAGTATGTCCAGAAGTTGTCCAGTCCATCAGGCTGCCTCGCCCTTCGGCAAAATCATGGTTGATCTGCTCCAGGCCTCACCTATTCATTCGTGCCAGCTCGTCACAGCCCTAAGTTCCCTGCTTTTCAAAAATCTATTTCCTTTAACACTTTCAAAGATCTTTCCTCCACAACTCTCCAGGGTACAGAACTGCAGATATTCAGTAGCCTCTGGGAGAGAAATTCATTCACGTATCAGTTTTAAATGAGAGTCCCCTTGTTCTGTAACTATGCCCCCGAGTTCAAGAGTTTGTCCACTCGTGGAAACATCTTATGAACATCTACCTTGTCTAGTTCCCTTTAGAATTTTATATGTTTCAGTAAGATCACCGTTCATTCTTCCAAAAGATAAGTCAAGTTTTTTCAGCCCAGGAACCAGCTAGTGAATTGCTTTAAAACTATCCAATGTGAGTACATCTTTTCTTAAATAGAAGGACCAAAACTGTATACAAGTACTCTAGATGTAGCCTCACCAACATCCTATACAGTTGTAACAAGACTTCCCTATTTTTATACTCCAAATGCCAAAATTCCATTTGCTTTTCTAATTACTTGTTTCACCTGCAGAAGAACATGCAGAATGCTCTGCACTGCATTTTTTTTTTAACTCTCTCTCCATTTGAATATTAGTCTGCCTTTTGATTCTTTCTACCAAAATGCTTAACCTCACACTTTCTTGTATTTAACTTCATCTGGCAAGGTTAGGCCTGGTCACTCAACCTAACTATTGCCACTTTCAGACACCTATGTCCTCTTCACAACATGGTCTCTCATCTATTCTGGTGTCATTAGCAAAACTGAATGACATTACATTCCTCTCCCCTCGTCTCAAGGCATTAATAGAGGGCATAAATAATTGATGCCGTTGATCATTATGACAGTGCACTGTTGTGTCTTTCCAACCTGTAAAAGACCCATTGATTCCAACTCTCTGTCTTCGCTATGTCAACCAATCCTCAAAGCATTCTAATACATTAACCCCCAATATGCGAGTTTATCTTATACAATAACTTTGTCTGACATCTTACTGAATACGTTCTGCAAATCCAAGCACACAATGTCTACTGGTTTCCCTTTATCAACTCTAGTTATTATTACATTTGTCAAATCTGATTTCGTTTTCACAAAACCATACTGACTGTTTGATTATGTTAAGCTTTCTAAATGCTCTCCTAATTCTTCCTGAATAATGGATTCTAGCACTTTCCCAACTGGCCTACAGTAACCTGCTTTCTGTTTCCCTCCCTTCTTGAATAGGGGTCATAAATTAGTAGTTTTTCAATCTACCGGAAACCTCCCGGAACCCATTGAATTCTACAATATTTTGACTAATGCTTTCATTATCTCTGCAGCCACTTCCTTTATGTGATGAATGCACAAGTATATGTTGTCCTCAGAGGTCCTGGGTGCAAACATTGAAAATCATTTGACATATACTTGTGGTATTGAGGTATCTTTCCATACATTGGTGGATACTTTCTACACCTTTCCTAATTTTCCACTGCCATGACCAAAGCAGCGTGACAAGCAGGGCACAAAACTCAACAATCTTTATGGAAAACTCTGTATTTTATATACTATTTTAACAAGATACTGCAGTTCATAAGCATAGAGCAGTTTAAGTTTTTATTGCTTGTCTCACTAAGACCTCCTTAAATGATTATTTGTAGATTAGACTCCCAAAAGTGATCTCTCTGCCAGGTCACAGCAATGAATGAGGCTGTTTGATTAATTATCAATGGTGGAAGCTCAGGAAAGCTCAGAAAATGCTGGAGAAGCTCAACAGTTCTTACAGCGGAGTAGAGAGAACTGTTCTGATGAAGAGTCACTGGACTTGAAACATAACCCTGTTTTTCTTTCCACAGATGCTGCCAGACCTGCCAAGTTTCTCCAGCACTGTTTTTGTTTCATCCCTCCAGCATTCATTTCAAAACTCCATTCTGAAGCCTGTTATTCTTGAGTCATGTTGATTCCAAAATGACTTTTCTCTCTTCTCCCCCTACCAACTCTTCGACAATAACATGCATTCACATAGATTCCAGCTCCTTTAACATTATAAAGCATCTCTGGTCCTTATCAAGAATGTTATCAGACATAACCTATGTCTTTGTTTGTTTTCCTTATTCTCAAATTATTCAAAATGGCACTGAATCATGGTGACAAATATAAGCTTTTAACTATATTTTACTGTATTCTTACTGTAAAATACACGTAACAATAAATCATTCATTCAGTCTAAAGTTGTCAGATAGCAATATGAGCTGATTTTAGGAACAGGGGGCCAATAGCTTAGTCAATGAGGCAGTCAATGAATGTACTAAAGGAGGAGAGAGAGAGAGAGAGAGATAGAGGGGTACGCAGGATTAAAAAAGGATCCTCAAGAGACCAGAATCAACCAAGAACAGAGATCTCAGAGGGTACATGGGCTGAGAAGGTTACAGAGATAAGGATGGAGGAATTAGAATACAAGGCTGAAAATTTTGAAATTGAGATCTTTTAGGAGTTAATATGAAGTAGACGTGCTGGTTTTGGACTGGGGTGGACAAAGTCTGAATTCACACGACACCAGGTTATAGTCCAACAAGTTTACTTGAAATCACAAGCTTTCGGAGCGTAGCCCCTTCATCTGACTTCACCTGATGAAGGGGCTATTCTCCGAAAGCTTGTGATTTCAAATAAACCTCTTGGACTATAAACCTGGTGTTGAGGCAATATGAGTCAGTGAACATGGAGGAAAAATGGATGAAAAGGAATTGGTGTACGTCTGGATAAAGGTAACAGATACAGTCACTCATTAATCAATTGCATTACATAAATTGTGCTCTAAGAGAATTTCTTTTGACTAAGGCATTATTTTTCAAGTCTGAAAGAAAAATTATAAAGGATGCACATGTATAATGCGTGGGGCATGCTGCATAGATTTGTAAATATGCAATTAACGATTCAGTTCATAGCATGTCATAAAACATATGAGCTATGTTACCTGAACCATTTGCTGCTTCTGATACTTCTTTTCTACCACGGATGTTGGATCATGATGCAGAACATCACAGGAAATTGGTGTGAGATGGTGAATTACAAAGAACTTAAATTTTTTTACATAATGTGCATTTTTAAAAAGTCAGTTAATTTTTCTGATTTGTAACCTAAAAATTCTGTTTATCCCATTAAATATATTTCTCGTAAATACAAGCAGATGCTTTAGCAGCAACAGTCATTGCAAACATTGAGTTGATTACCTAATTCATCTTCTCCAAATCCCAAAACCGTTCCTGAGATATGACCACTAAGAGAGTTTTCGCAGGCAGTGCTCGTGCCAAGGCACAAGGTTCGTTCCTGCCACAGTTTGTTCAAAGGGTTTTGTTGAAGGCTCATCAGTTGCCTGAAATTGTGGAAAAGATTGATCATTACTCATACACTACAAAAATACTAAGATCTATAGCCATACCTCAGTTTTTGAAATAAAGTAAGATTTTCTAAAATATTTTATAACATTTATGATTTCCAAACTAGTTTAACCACCTGCACCGGGTATTTAGAGGGCCATTAAAACACCACTGCATTAAAATAATACTAGTTAGGTGTTAAAATTTTAATTACAGCTAGAATGTATACTGATTACATGTACTAATATCTACAATAACTGGAGGAATCTAAATCCCATTTCAATTCCAAAGACACATGTGAAAAATGAAGACATGAACCACAAATAAGAATCCTAACCAGAGAATCTCAATTAAGTCAGCTAACTCAAAGCTAATTTATCCATTGGCTTTACATTATATGTCATCTTTTCAATTATGAATTTAGTTATAATTCAAATATGAATGAATATGCAAAATATACTCTTTTAAAATTTAAATTGTGGTGTGCATTGCTATGGCAATCAAAAAATTGAGAAATATAGCTTTAATTAGGGTAAATGTAGCAATCTGGTTCATATGCATTTAATTGGCATCTTTAATTTCACTGGTCGATTGGAATACAACCTGTTTTGTCTAACTGCCGATTGCATCAGAAACGGTTACAAGCACAGCTGGAGATGAAAACTTTCTGCCAATTTAAATTTCACAGGTGTTTTTACCTACACAATGTTAGTTAAAACTATCCAAATCACGGTCTTGGGTGGTAAGTTTTTCTAACACTTTCTGAAAAGTTTTTATTGTTCCTATGGGTTTATATTGGCAACATTATACAGTTATGAGATCAATATTACTTTTATACTGGCACAAGGCTGAAAGTGTAAAAAAGGTCTCCTAACCCCTTGAATAACTTACAACCTAAAAAGCACATGCTTGGAAAACAGAAGGGAGTTATGAAAGCAAAATGCATAACATTTCCAACTACATTATCCAAAATACATACAATGGAACATTAAGCAAACATTTATTCCATTAAATGGACTCAACAAATTGAGAGAACTATTCTGAATCTAGATGAGTGGTAACTCCACTCCCCAACTAAGTTACCAGCAACATTCACGGAATGATGATGAGTTGAATCAACAAGATTATTTTAACTTGCACCACTTGGGCAGTAATTAGATGGAGCAAATTATTTATCTACTGTAGGATTTACTTAATTTTCATTCAATTGTTTTCAAATGATAATTTTATGAGTTCCACGATAAGTGAACATTACACCAGGGCATTTTCCTCAAAGTCCATTAAATAGCTACCCACCTTCATTCAACCAGTAGATACAAAATTCAAAGTAAAGAGTTAATATTGAAAGCAGAGATAGTAGGAACTGCAGATGCTGGAGAATCCGAGACAACAAGGTACAGGGCTGGATGAACACAGCAGGCCAAGCAGCATCATAGCAGCAGAGAGGCTGACGTTTCCGGCCTAGACCCTTCATCAGAAAAGGGGGAGGGGAAGGGGGTTCTGAAATAAATAGGGAGAGAATGGGAGGCGGATAGAAGATGGATAGAGGAGAGGATAGGTGGAGAGGAAACACACAGGTCGAAGAGGCGGGGATGGGGCCAGTAAAGGTGAGTGTAGGTGGGGAGTTAGGAAGGGGATAGGTCAGTCCAGGGAGGATGGACAGGTCAAGGGGGCGGGATGAGGTTGGTCGGTAGGAGTTGGAGGTGCGGCTTGAGGTGGGAGGAGGGGATAGGTGGGAGGAAGAACAGGTTAGGGAGGCAGGGACAAGCTGGACTGGTTTTGGGATGCGGTAGGGGGAGGGGAGATTTTGAAACTTGTGAAATCGACATTGATACCATTAGGCTGCAGGGTTCCCAAGCGGAATATGAGTTGCTGTTCCTGCAACCTTCGGGTGGCATCATTGTGGCACTGCAGGAGGCCCAGGATGGACATGTCGTCTGAGGAATGGGAGGGGGAGTTGAAGTGGTTCGCGACTGGGAGGTGCAGTTGTTTATTGCGAACCGAGCGTAGGTGTTCTGCAAAGCGGTCCCCGAGCCTCCGCTTGGTTTCCCCGATGTAGAGGAAGCCACACTGGGTACAGCGGATGCAGTATACCACATTGGCAGATGTGCAGGTGAACATCTGCTTGATGTGGAAAGTCTTCTTGGGGCCTGGGATGGGGGTGAGGGAGGAGGTATGGGGGCAGGTGTAGCACTTCCTGCGGTTGCAGGGAAAAGTGCCGGGTGTGGTGGAGCTGGAGGGGAGTGTGGAGCGGACAAGGGAGTCACGGAGAGAGAGGTCCCTCCGGAAAGCAGATAAGGGTGGGGAGGGAAAGATGTCTTTGGTGGTGGGGTCGGATTGCAGATGGCGGAAGTGTCGGAGGATGATGCGTTGGATCCGGAGGTTAGTGGGGTGGTATGTGAGGACGAGGGGGATTCTTTTTTGGTTCTTATTGTGTGGACGGGGTGTGAGGGATGAGTTGCGGGAGATGTGGGAGACACGGTTGAGGGCGTTCTCGACCACCGAGGGGGGGGGAGTTACGGTCCTTGAAAAACGAGGACAACTGAGATGTACGGGAGTGGAATGCCTCATCCTGGGAGCAGATGCGGTGGAGGCGAAGGAATTGGGAATAGGGGATAGCATTTTTGCAGGAAGGTGGGTGGGAGTTGGAGTATTCTAGGTAGCTGTGGGAGTTGGTGGGCTTGAAATGAATATCGGTTTCTAGGTGGTTGCCCGATATGGAGACAGAGAGGTCCAGGAAGGGGAGAGAGGTGTTAGAGATGGTCCAGGTAAACTTAAGGTTCGGGTGGAAGGTGTTAGTGAAGTGGATGAACTGTTCGAGCTCCTCGTGGGAGCACGAGGCGGCGCCGATACAGTCATCAATGTAATGGAGGAAGAGGTGGGGTTTAGGGCCGGTGTAGGTACGGAAGAGGGATTGTTCCACGTAACCTACAAAGAGGCAGGCGTAGCTTGGGCCCATGCGGGTACCCATGGCTACCCCCTTTGTCTGTAGGAAGTGGGAGGAATTGAAAGAGAAGTTGTTGAGGGTGAGGACGAGTTCGGCTAAGTGGATGAGGGTGTCAGTGGAGGGGGACTGGTCGGGCCTGCGGGACAGGAATAAGCAGAGGGCCTTAAGGCCATCTGCATGGGGAATGCAGGTGTAGAGGGACTGGACGTCCATGGTAAAGATGAGGTGTTGGGGACTGGGGAATTGGAAGTTCTGGAGGAGGTGGAGGGCGTGGGTGGTGTCACGGACATAGGTAGGGAGTTCCTGGACCAAGGGGGAGAAGATGGAGTCTAGATAGTTGGAGATCAGTTCGGTGGGGCAGGAGCAGGAGCAGGCGGAGACAATGGGTCGACCAGGGTATTCAGGTTTGTGGATTTTGGGAAGGAGATAGAAGCGGGCAGTGCGAGGTTGGGGAACGATGAGGTTGGAGGCCGTGGGTGGGAGGTCACCTGAGGTGATGAGGTTGTGGATGCTTTGGGAGATGATGGTTTGGTGCTCAGGGGTGGGGTCATGATCAAGGGGGCGATAGGAGGAGGTGTCGGAGAGTTGACGTCAGTTGGCTCTCGCTACACGGTTCATTGAATTACTGTTGATTTATGTCCATTACCTAGATTTGGAATTAACTGAGTAATTTGAAAAATATTTTTCTCTATCCTATGTAAGACCTTTTAAGTCAGTAAATTTGGGAAGAATGAATTCAGTTGTAAATAACCATGAAGGTTGCAGTACAATACAAACATCTTGTATTAATTGGAATTAAATTTGCAGTTTCACTCAGAGAAGCAGTAAATGTGCCTGTGGGGAAGAGACAAAATTGCAGTGTTCAATGGAAGGGCTCTTCTCAACTTTTAGTTAAGGGACAATTGGCCTTAAACTTCCCAATGAGGCTTGGGAATGCCAAAATATAAAAATTTATTATCCAATATAGACATTCTTCAAATAAAGACAGAAAATATTGGAGGCACTCAGCAGATCTGGCAGCATCTATAGAAAGAGAAACATGACTGAATTTTCCAAAAATTTGGCTAAATGTCAATTTCAGTGTGTTTCAGGTTGGGCTTTCTCTGAGCTCTAGTGAATTTCATTCTATGAATTTACAGTTATTGTTGTCATCAGCAATCACTCACTAACGAGTATGATTGTCCACTTATGAAATTCCGTTTTGGGTTCTGTGGGTCCTCGTGTGGCTAATAAGCCCCATTCTAGAGTTGCAAATCCAATCACAAATTTGGCAAGTGTTTCCAGGAGAAGGAATAAGTCCTTGGCTTTGAGATCACTGGCATTCCTTTCTTTGGTTCCTTCTTTGTTCTTCCTCTTGCCAAAGGATGTTCTCAAAGAATCGTGACCCTTCATTCAGCTTCTTTCTGAAAGAGGGTCTCCAATGTGTTAATATCTGTGCTGTATTTCCTGAGGGAAACTTTGAAACACATTGAAACACATCTTTAGTCATCCCCTAGTGTATTTTTCTTGAGTTGGGTGAAGAAGATTTGCTTTGGCAGTCAGAACTCCTAAGCACGTGGTCAAGCCAGTGGAATTGGTTTCAGGTGATAATGGCCTCGATGCTGGTGCTACGGACTCCTTCAAGAGTGCTGATATTAGTGTGCTCATCCTCTGAGTTGATGAGGAAAATCCGTCTCAAACAAAGTTGATGGTACTTTTCAAGGGCCTTGAAGTGGTGTCTATACATAATCCAAGTTTTGGAGACATACAGAAGAGTCGCAAGGATGACTGCCTTATACACAAGGATCTTGGTATCAGCATGATATCACAGTCATTGAAGACTCTCATCTTTAAGTGTCCAAAGGTGGTGCTTGCAAATTGGATGAGGTGTTGGATATCTGCGTCGATGCCAGCCTTAGGTGAGTGGTGAGTCTCTACCTACATGAAGTTTTGGGACAATTTTTCCATTGGTCTTAATGGATGAATGGGCGAGTTGGTAAATAACTTGAGTCTTTTTGAGGTTGATATTCCAATAATGATTATTAATCAGAGAAGCTGAGAAATGGATAG